GAATTGCGAGATTGACGCAAACTGTGTAATTTAGCACAAATGACCTCAATTAAGCTTCTCTTCAACCTGAATAATGTTTATCATGCCTTGACAATTATCCAAGCTTTGATTTACTTGTGCATGTTGTTATCAACCTAGATCTGCTCAATAAGGCCATTTAAAGCTTCTCGCATCTTCTTAGCTCAAGCTCTCGTGACTGGACCTCTTGGAATATGTAATGGATCTCTTGACATGATACATATGGGGTCATCTTGATTCCCATCAAACACCCTAAGCCCGAATATTGGGCCTCAAATAAATGAATGTTCAGCCCAAAATAATACAAAAAACATGAAAATCACTAAAAGTAACCTAAAGTAACATGAAATATTAGTTTGTTACAAATTGCGACAGAATTGCGAGATTTTGACGCAAACTGTGTAATTTAGCATAAATGACCTCAATTAAGCTTCTCTTGAATCTGAATGATGTTTACCATGCCTTGATAATCATCCAAGCTTCGATTTACTTGTTGCATGTTGTTATCAACCCAAATCTGCTCAATAAGGCCATTTAAAGCTTCTCGCATCTTCCTAGCTCTAGCTCTCATGACTAGATTTTCTGGAATGTGTAATGGATCTCTTGACGTGGTACATGTGGGGTCATTTTGATTCCCATCAAGTCTTGTCTTCTAAAAAAATAAGATCTTTAATGAATAGTTGGCTTTTGCTTGCTTTGCCAAATGTTGAGGGTGATATGGCTAGGATTCAAGTAACTACTAGCAAAGATAAAGGAAAAAAGGCGACTAAAGAGCCTAACCCAAAGTCCAACAAAGATAATGACATGAAACCCACCAAGAGTGATGAAGCATCAAGAGGTAACCATAAGTCCAACCATGAGAGTGGTGAAGATGATGGCATGTCTGATGTCGAAGTTGGCATAAAAAGTTGTGCCAGAGAAACGTGTGCCATACTTAGTTGTGGCTTTAAAAAAATCCATTCCCAATGAAGACGAGATAGATGTTGATGAACCAGCCATGAGCATATCAAAGAAAGTTGTCAGCTTTGGAAAAATCTTGTCTGAGGATGAATCTTCCTCAGTTCTAGCTAAGTTGAGTGATGTAGATGACATACGCAACAAGGCTGAGAAAGTGATGATTGGGAATGCCTTCATAAATCTTTATGCGACTGTGAGGCACATGGAAGTAACTCTTTTTGTTAAGATGGTTGAGGAATTCTTTCATTACTGTAGGGATGCCATAGATGATGCTAAGAGCATAAATTTCAGAGTTGGAGCAATTTGGGCTAGTGAAGGTGTACCTTGGCAAAGGCAAGTTTGACATGGTTAGGAGTGGCATGGCTGGGAGCTGGGATGAGCAGATTGACAAGTAGGCAAAGCATGTTGAAAATGTGCAGAAATCCTTGGTTAATATGAAAGAGCTTATGCTTAAGTTGGAGGCAACATTGAAATCAGCTGAGGAACATTTGAAATTACTCAGCCAAGAGAAGGAGTGCCTGGGTTCTAGCAAAGTCGCCTAGTGATGTCACCCACTTTATCAAAATTGTGTTGAAATAGCTAATAATTATGGTGACAAGCTTGGTCCATCTGTTCCATGAGTAGCCATGCTTTTCAGCCCCCATTTCTATGAACAATTCACAGTGAGGTGGAGTTGCATAACAAGAAATATGTGATTGTGCAAAAGTAAAGTAGACAAATAATGTGTTGATTAATGAAATAAGACACCATCAGGCTCACAGCATTGCAAAGAGATACAGCTTCCACCCATTTTGTGAAATACATAGTGGCCACCCATATACATGTACAATCCTTCAATGTAGGATGGATAGGGCCAATAAGGTCTAGTAGACATGGGGAAGCATATTGAGACTTTGATAATATAAAAAAAGGTTGCCAAATCTTTCAAGCCTCTAAGTGTTGATGCACTTCGTCAAAGTAGCACAAGTACTTATCAAGTGTAAGAATATCGTTAGTAAGAAATATTGGCCATAAAAGAATACTCCATTGGCAAGTCGAAGACAACGTAAATGCCAACCATGGGAGAGGAAACACCATCACATTAGAAGTCTATCATGACATAAATGCTGCCTAAGAGATGATCAAATGACATTGCTAGCAGGTTTTGGTGTGACACAAATACTAGACATGAGAGATAAGAATGCTAATAGTAAACCAAGGATGGTTGAAATACTAGCCATGAAAAAATAACATCACTAATAGACCCTAAAGATGCATCACCAACAAACCTTGAAAAGGCATCAGCACTAGCCATAAAAGATAATATTGCTAGTAGGCCTTGAAGAGACACTAATATTGGCCACAAAGATAATATTGCCAACAAGCTTTGAAAAGGCACTAATATTGGCCATCAAAGATTATATTGCTAGCAAGCTTTAAAGAGGCACTAACACTGACCATGAAAGATAAGATGCAGCAATACTGGCCAAGAAAGATAATACCATCAGTAGACCTTTAAGATGCATCACCATCATACCTTGAAGAGGCATTAATACTAACCATAAAAGATAATATCACCAGCAGGCCTTATAGAGGCACAAATTCTAGCCATGCAAAATGATATCGTTAACAAACCATGTAGAGGCATGAATACTGGCCATGAAAGATAATATCACTAATAGGCCTTAAAGAGACATGAATACTGGCCATGAAAGATAACGCCAGTAGGCTTTATAGAGGTAGGTATATTGGCCATGAAAGATAATATTGCTAATAGGCTTTGAAGAGGCACTAATATTGGCCATGAAAGATAATATCACCAACAGGCTTTGTAGAGGCACGAATACTGGCCATGAAAGATGATATCACCAACAGGCCTTAAAGAGGCATGAATACTAGCCATGAAAGTTAATTCTGCCAACAGGCCTTAAAGAGGCACTAATACTAGCCATGAAAGAAAACATTGCTAGCAAACCTCAAAAAGGCATCAATACTAGCTATGTAATAGAAGTAACATCTTTGACAAGTTAGCGATGATGTGACTCAAGTGCTAGCAATGCATTTGATGTATAAGTAGATCTATAAGATTTGAATGCTGTTGCTAGTTGGTTTGAAGCCATGAGACTATAATGCCGATGAAGTAAAATGATAGGCAAGTTTGTCTTGTAGTGTAAGATAATTAGCTTCGCAAGAGCCATAAAAGCTAATAAGATATTTCATTCTTAGCTTCAAAAGCTAGATATTCTACTTTGCTTTGCCTGGACAACTGAGGTGTGAGCAGTGGCCTTCTTTTCTATCAACTTCACTACAAACTTTTCAATAGAGATAGCTTTGACAAAAATGGTTGTTCTCCTAGCAGCAACGAGTAGCCTTGCAAATTGACTAATCCTGATATATTTAAGGACAACACGATATTTTGGGAACATACTGTTGATGCAGATCTCCACCAAGAAAGATTTAGCATGGCCACCATAACATTTAAGTGCTAAATCTCTAAATCCTTTTACATAAACCATCAAATCTTTGTTGGCATAGTGGCGAGTATTATGAAGATCAAGAATGGTGATGCGCTCCTCACTTTGAAAATATTTTTGACAAAATTGCTCAACCATTTCATCCTAAGAGCGGATAGAGTCGGGGAGCAAAGTAGTACACCAAGTGTAAGTTCTATCAAAGAGAGATTTAGAAAACTCACATAGGCACAAGTCTTTATTGCCAACATAAGCCTCCATGGCATTGAGGAACTTGCTGATGTGCTCCACAACGCTGCCCTTCCTCCCATCATATTATGGGAACGTAGGACTTTCATATTTCTTTGGGTAGGGCTTGGACAGAATCTCCTTTGGGTATGGTGGATCACAAACAAACTGAAAAGTGGCTAGATTTTGTCTAGAATGTTCCTTATCCAAAAGAGCAATAAGATTCGCCATGGTGACTAAGCCTTGAGTGGAATCAACTACATTAGGTGAAGCCTTGTCAGTGTTGGTGGCTACGATTATCGGGGATGATGAATTATTTGGCCATGCAGTAGTGCCCCCATTTCCATCGGTAGCCTCAGCCTAGACCTTCTATGGCTGGGACATTCTGGCCATATTGGCTAGTTGCATTGGATCCTACACAGCATATTGAGCTTGCAAGTTGGTGAGAAGTTGATTAGTTCTTTGCTAATCCTCGTGCAAGACTCGAATAATTTGAACTAGAGATGCGAGATCAGGATTAGTGATTCCTTGCAAGAGATCATTAAAAACATCTATCGACGAACATGGTTGTTGAACTTCCCGTCCATCATCTTGGCTAGGCTTTTGATTTTTGTCAACAATGTGAGATGAAGTTGCTCTCGTGACAGGGATGGTTAGAAAAATTTTGCTAAAGATGAATAAATATTGTTGATGAAGAATATTGAAAATGATGTACCACTGAAGAAGAGCAGAACAAGACAAAGCTTTAGAATGACCTCCCCAGTGGAGTCGCCATTTTTGTTGAGGTGTAGGTGACGAGGAGATGACAATTCAGCAATATAGATGACATGGAAGTTGACAAGGATGCCACCTACAAGAGATGATGAGGGTCTTTTCGGTGGCACTCATTTCACATGCAAGAAGTTCGTGCCCTGAGCCATCTCACTTCGTCCAACAATGATGGTTAGCAGCAAATTCCCCAACAAAGTTTGAAAGTGTAAACTTTCCAGTCACGTCGAGAGAGTTAGGTAGTAATGACAGAGCTTCAAGAACCAAGAATGATTACACAACTACCAAAAATAATGAAAAGGAAATGTACATTGTTGTAGGAGTAGTAAGGATAGAAGATATATAAAGATCAAAGTTTACAACTTGAGTAGCACATTTATATATAGTATATTGTAGCATAATAGTAAAAACAATGAATGTGCCCTTTACTATCCTTGACAAACATTCTTACTCTATAACGAGCAACCCTCATGTTGTAGGTGAAAAGCACAATGATTTCCTTCAAGCTTTCTCAAGAACAAAAAGAATAAATTGAAAGTAATGATTGGAGAAGGAAGGATAACCATTGTGGGGCTTTCGAATGGAGGGCTTGATCTCGTTGTTGATGCTAACCTCTTAGTTTGATCCTCTAATGCTTAAGAAAATATCCCAAACATTGAAACTATAGCATGTTGTCTCCCAACCATAATGTTCTATAGGTCTGGAAAGTATTCTATAGTGTTGGAAGTGCAAAAAATATAATAAAAATGGCAATTTTTGGGTATTTTTGGTTTATATGGGGAAAGGTTCAAGATGAAGGATTTTTTCAGAGGAAAAATGGAGGTCTGATACGTGAGGAAGAAAGCTGGTTCTATGAAATTTGTTGAAAAATGAAGGAAAAATAATATATGCAATGGCATTTTTGTAATTTTTTGGGTTGATGGGCTAAGGTAGCCCAGTAGCGCAGCAATTGAATCTAGGTTATGGGAGGATAGCTATCGAGTTTTAAGTGGTTTTGGGTACCATTGACAGCTTTTTAAAAGTGATATCATGAATTATCAAGTGGTTCCAATAAAGTACCGTTGGTTCCAACGAAGTACTGCTAATCTGTTGAAGATTTCCCAATTTTAGTAATTCTTCTAGCCATAAGAAATTCCATTTTTGGGGGGTATTTGAGTATAGCTGGCAAAAATTAGATATGCCCAGGATTTTGGTAGATTACCCATGCAAAATGTAATTTTTTTCACCAGTTTCCAAATGTAATGAAACTTGTGCAACCACCCTTGATGGGAATCAAGACAACAACATATCTACTATGTCATGTGATCCATTACACAGCCAAGGAGGTCCAGTCACGCGAGCTAGGGCTAAGAAGATGCGTGAAGCTTTAAATGGCCTTATTGAGCAGATCTGGGTTGAAAACAACATACAACAAGCAAATCGAAGCTTGGATGATTATCAAGGCATGGTAAACATCATTCAGGCTCAAGAGAAGCTTAGTTGAGGTCATTTGCATGGAATTACACAGTTTGCGTCAAAATCGCACAATTCTGCCGCAACTTGTAGCAAACTGATATTTC